CCCATGCAGGAAGAAGTCAACCAGTCTATATGTCTCCCTCACATAGATGTCTCTCTCTCTCCTTCTCTTCTTCTCTCCCTCTCTTCCTCCCTCCCTTCCTCCCTGCCCTTCTCTATTAAAAAAAACATCAATGGGAAAAATATCCTCGGGTGAGGATTAACAACAACAGAAAAATAAAGACTTAAGTCATTTTATGAACTTGTTAAAGATACAGGTTTTTTTGTGTGTGAATTTTTCTGACTGGGGTTCCATCGTGTTCATCAGATACTCAAAATTATTATGTTTCCCAAAAAAGGTTTTAGTCATGATTTTTATTGCTTGGCTTGTTTATTTGGAGTTGAGAGGAGTTTGTTAAATACCAAAGGCTGTTGTTGCTTTTCTTCTTTTGAATCTCATCCTCTACTTTTAATCGTGGGCTGAAATCTGCGGCAGGAGCGCAAAGCCAAGCCCAGAGACATGAACACCTGCACCTGGGCTGCGGGCACCTGTGCAGCCGCCGCAGCTGCCGCCCAGCCGGCTCCGCAGGGGCCTCACTGGGTGACTTTCCTTTTGAGAAACAGGGAATAGCAGCCCTTGGGGTTCTGGCCCGAGAGTTTGGAGAAGCCTCTGTTCCCCAGGCACTTGGGGGCCTTCCCGTTTCTCTGGGCATTAAATAGACCCCCATGGACTTCTCCTTCACATTCTCTTTCTTGAATATTGCTGTTGCTGTCCTCATGGAGTAGCAATTAGTGCATATGCTAATGAATGGGCCCTGAGGCTCACATTGAAAATCTGACACGCTTTGTAGGTGCTAAATAATACTGTCACAATGCTTTCATTTTCAAACCCTCTTCATTCCATTCTCAGTTTCAGATTACAGATTACAGTAAGTAGTTAATTAGAGCAATGGGCCCAGAGTGAACCTTAGATCTGACTCCCATTAAAGTGCAGACTGCAGCCAAGTACTTTACAGGGGCGAGAAGGGTGAAGCAGGGCCCTCCCACCCAGGGTGATGCCTCTGGGTGCCGGGGTGCCCATGCCTCCGGAGCACCTGTGCCTGTGGCTCCTCATGTAAAACTGCTAACTGCTCTGTTGGTTTCACGCAAACTCTTCTCCTTCTCTCTCCCCTTCTCGCTGCTTCCCTCTCTCTCCCTCTCTCTCCCTCCTCCCCTCCTGCCTCTCTTTCTCCCACACACAGTACTTTTCTTTCTTGCTCTCACTCTCTCTTTCCTACCACTGCTGTGCATGCTGGCATTGTAGTCTCCTTATATTCTCCTCTCTGTCCCTCCCTCCCTCTCCTGTCACTCTTCCCAACTCCAAGGGAGGCTACTTTCAAGACGAGCCTTCACCCAGCTCTGGAAAGAGAAGGAATCAGCAAAAAGATCCAAGGCCCTGGCTGCCCAGCCGCTCCGCCCGGCCTGCGGTGACAGCCCTGCCTTCCTCCTGGCTGCTCTGCACCGAGTGCCTGGCCTCTCCCCCCTGGTGTCCTGGAGCCTCGCCTCCTCGGGAAGCCTCTCTGGGCGCAGCAGCTGCAGCTCTGACCACCCTGGCCTTAGTGAGTGAGACGCCTATACAGTGGGAATAATAGCGCGTAGTCCATCAGGTTGTTGACAGGACTAAAGGAGATAATACACGTGAAATGCTTAGTGCATGCCTGTAAGATACTGAATATATATACTGTATATGCAGTTACTTCTTTTACTTTAAATCCCCATCCTCTTGTCCTCCTCCCCTTTGGCAACCAGCAGTTGGTTCTCTATCTATGGGTCTGTTTCTACTTTGTTTTGTTTATTCATTCGTTTGTTGTTTTTCAAGATTCCACATTTAAGTGAAATTATATGATGTTTTTTTCTGTCGACTTACTTCACTCGGCGTGATACCCTCAGAGCCGGACGGGCGCTGCTGGCTTCCAGGTCTGGCTCTAGGCTGGTCTCTGCAGGCCTTGAGGACAGCGGTGACGCCTCACTCACCTCCTCCGCAGGCACGTCCCTTTGTGCCTGGTCAGGGGGGTGGCCAGTCAGTGTCTGCTGACATGAAATCCGTCCCCCCGAGGCCGCCCATAGTAGGTGTGGCGCTGTGGCAGGGACGTGCCAGCTGGGGGTGCGAGCCTGCGTGCCCGTGGAGAGGAGCCGAAGGCGACCGCACAGCAGTGTTGCCTTTGGGGGATGGGGTGCCGGGGGAGAGGGCAATACACTGCGTTGGAAAACAACAGGCCCCACTTCTCAGCAAGTCTAACCAAGCCAGTTACGCCTGCTGTTGGCAAAGAGGGCTTTTCCTTGGGCAGCACCAGTGCAGGCGGTGTCCGATGCAGAGTATGTTTTCAGGGTCAGGTGCTCAGTAAACACAGAGATGCTGCAGGTAAAGAGACGCATGGACCTGGCCCGCCGGAGGCAGCAGGTCCACAGCCACATTGTCACGCCTTCCAGGACACACCACCGAGCAGACGGGTCACAGGGCCCGGGCCTCTGGTCACCCCGCCCACTCCTGTCTGTGTCGAGGAATTCACGGACGTTTGTGCTGTGATGCGAGCACTCCGTGGAGAGCTCATACTGTTTGACACGGATTAACAGGAGGTCACTCAAGTTCTGGGCCAGGACGGCTTCACTGAATGGGCAGAGGCGTGCGGTGCCCATGCGAGTTCGGCTGGAAGGCCTGGCTCCCTGCTCACCGTGCCTGGTTCCAATTCTCTCTCGGACCCTGGAGTCAGCATTGCTCTGAGTGTTTTTCTTTCATTGTTCTGACAAGTTCCTCTCCATCCCACAGCTGTTTGGAAACTGCTCTCTGCTGAGCCTCGAGCCTCGAGCCTCAGTGCTACCAGCCTTTAAACGCTGCTATTAGGGAGCAAGCTCCTGAACCGGTCAGCCTGCTGCGAGTGTAACGGGAGTCGCCGGGATCTGTAATTGGGTTGGGAAATACTGCTCACTTATTTTAGTCTTAAGTCATTACCTTCTTATTGAACGTCAATAACTTTGCTTTTCTTTTATATTCACATTCAACATAGCTGCAGTTTACTGAAAGGTTTTTTAACTCTTACTTGCTGTCTAGGCAGCCTGCCCACTTACATCATTACTTGTTGAAATAAATGCATGTATAGTGTAGCCACTATGGAAAACAGTATGCAGACTCTTCAAAAAATAAAAAATAGGACTGCCATACGACTCAGTAATCCCACTTCTGGGTATTTATCCAAAGAAAACAAAAAACACTGATTCAAAAAGATACACGCACAGCTAAGTTGACTGCAGCAGCACTTACAATAGCCAAGATATGGAAGCAACCCAAGTGTCTCTCAGTACATGAGTGGATGAAGATGTGGTGCGTACACACAGTGAACTCTTACTCAGATAAGAGGAATGAAAGGAATGAAAGCTTGCATCTGCAACAACCTGGGTGGACTAGAGGACATTATGCTGAGTGAAGTAAGTCGACAGAAACAAAATATCATGTAATTTCACTTAAATGTGGAATCTTGAAAACAACAACAAACGAATAAACAAAGCAAAGTAGAAACAGACCCATAGAGGACAAACTGCTGGTTGCCAAAGGGGAGGAGGCCAGGAGGATGGGGATTTAAAGTAAAAGAAGTAACTGCATATACATACACATATTCAGTAAGTGCTTTACAGGCATGTATTGAGCACTTCACATGCATTATCTCATTTAGTCCTTGCAACAACCTGAAGGGCTAGGCACTATTCTTCTCATTGTAAAGGTGAAGAAACCGTATTCAAGACAAGGCATGTACCTTGCCCAAGGTGCGTGCCGGCCCGGCTCTCACAGCTGGCATTAGGGAGAATAGGGGGCTATCTAGAGAAGTGATGTGGAACTTCGCCACTGCTACTTGGTAGCTTTGTGACCTTGGGCACATCCTGTGAATTCTCTGAATGGCTCTGTCAGCTCCAGAGGGCTCCCCCTCCCTTTACTTTCTGAATAGTTTTCTGGCAGGGATCAAAATAAAAAATGAGGGTTCGTTTAACGGCACTTTCTAAAACAGCGAAGTGCTGAACAAACGCGAGGCACTCCTTTCTCGTGTGCTTTGTGTAGCCAGTTTAGCATATTGAACAACGGGACTGGCACTGGCATGCTGCACTCGTATATGCTTTGCAATTAGTGTAGCCTAATTTAATTGTGATTCCATTGTTGGAATTTTGATGCCTCCCGCTTGATGAATGGCCATTTTTCTGGGGGTGTTATCAGTTAATCTAGGTAATGAATTCTCTTCATTATCTTGTTTTTCATGTTAATTATACGGGATTTTCTTATGCCTATTTATCAAGTCAGGACAAGTACAATTTTCTTTTTGCCCACACGCCTTTGAATCTGGAATATGCAGAAACAGGTGAACATGATTGGTTTAAATTTACATTTCTGATAAGTTCCAGTCAGTGGCTTGACTTTTCTTACATCCTTATTTATGGTATAAGCTTGTATCTCTTCCTTTTGGGAGTCTATGTCCTGTTTATAAAAAATGTTGTTATCTTAGACAATTAAGCTATCTCTGACTTTTGAGAGAGTACCTCTAGCATATCAAAATGGTATTAAGTAAGCATGGAAAGCGTCTATCTTTGCATATTAATATGAAACAACAAATAATAACGTTCTAATGTTGAAATATTCCATGAAGCACCATGACAGGTAAAATTTAAGTGTAAACCATGGGAAGAAAAGACATTAGTGCATGAAATCTTAAATGACACTACTCTTAAAAGAACAGTTCCAGACAAGTGTCTAAGGAAAAGCAGAAGACTGTATATAATGAGTGAGTGGTGACTGAATTCATTTTGAGTTCAGAGAAGTGATTGATGGGCTAATATGAGCTAATATGATAATGTTATTATTGATATTTATTAATTTAGCATCAAATTTTAACTTTCATAATATTTTCTAGGCCTTTTATTTAATATTTACGTTCCGTGTTTTTTAAAAAGTCTTTTTTTATTTGTCTCTATTGTTTAGCCAGTTATTTGTGAGAATGTTGGCCGTCAGCATTTTGATGGGCACCTTTCTGCTTTTGACTTCAGGTTGAAGCCATCCTCGTCAATATTTTTGGTGGAATTGTCAACTGTGCCATCATTGCCAATGGGATCACCAAGGCCTGCCGGGAGCTGGAACTGAAGGTGCCTCTCGTGGTCCGGCTTGAAGGTGAGTTATGGGTGATCTCCACAGCCCATCACCCCTCTGCCAGGTCAGGTGACCACAGCCCATCACCCCTCTGCCAGGTCAGGTGACCACGGTCCATCACCCCTCTGCCAGGTCAGGTGACCACAGTCCATCACCCCTCTGCCCGGTCAGGTGAGCAGAGTGTTCTGCGCTTACAAACTTCCTGAGAGAACAGAAGGAAGCACGGAGTAAGTAAGATGAAATAAGTGCAGCATGGCAGTGATTCTGTGAGCATCTAATAGGCTCATGTAGATTGTAACTCTCCAAGAATGGCATATGTTAGGATTCTCCAAATTCTCCAAATGCATTTCAGAGTGGAGCCCTTTTATTATGAATCATTTTGTGAGATTAGTGTTTTGAAAGAAACAGTTTGAGATGCTGCTCCAAGAATTATTCATCAAGAGAAGGCAATGGCTGTGGTCTAGCACTCCTTATCTGCTGAAATTGTGAACCCAAAGAGCTCTGGCTTATTTGAGTTGTATATTTCATTATTATTGATTAATTCAACAATTTCCTAAGTGTAACTTTAAAAATATGTTTAAATAATTAAGTTTGTATTTTTAAATTAAATTAAATTTTTTTTCTTTCTTTTTTGTTAATCCTCACCCAAGGATATTTTTCCCATTGATTTTTTTAAGAGTGGAAGGGAGGGAGGGGGAAAGAGGGAAAGAAACATCAATGTGAGAGAAGCACATTGATTAGGTGACTCCCACACATGCCCTGAGCGGGGGCAGGGATAGAACCAGCAATCTAGTACTGGGAATCGAACCCGTGGCCCTTCTGTGTGCAGGCTGATGCTCTAACCATTTAGCACACCAGCCAGGGCTATATTATTTTTTATATTATTTCTTTAAAAAATATATTTTTTATTGATTTCAGAGAGGAAGAGAGAAGGAGGGAAAGATAGAAACATTAATGATGAGAGAGAATCATTGATCGGCTGCCTCCTGCACGACCCCTACTGGGGATGGAGCCTGCAACCAGGAATCCAGCTGTGACCTCCTTATTCATAGGTAGACAGTTGACACTCAACCACAAAGCCACACAGGCCGGGCTATATTATTTCTTTTATATATAAATATATGAAATATATATTTTATGAAAAATAAATTTGTGAAATTTTTCATAAGAATGGCAGCATTGTTTTACATTTTTGAAATCTCTTTAATATGTAGTTTAATATTTGCTTCATTTTATCTGTTGCAATATGTTGTTTTGGTTGAAGTAGATGAAGAAAACCTGGCCTCATATAGAGCTATTTATTTGGAAAAGGGAGGAGTTTTTAATAATCATTTTATATAATTTTGAATATTCTTTGGTGCTCCACTAAAGTCTATAAGCAATAGTTTCTTTATTAAAGATTTGTTTTATGTGCAATCTGAAATGATTTTAATGAACTTTTCATATTCTATCCTATTAAAGTCCGTTGGTCCGTCTTGCATATGAAGTGGATTTTATGCATGCATGGTTTGTAATATCATGCATTGATCATATGGAGCATTTTGGATTATGCAGATCTAAAGGTTGACACATTTCAACATACAGTATAAAAAAGTTCCACATTTGTTAATATCACAGCATCCTCGCCCTGGCCTGTGTGCTCAGTTGGTTGAGCACATGGTCCCATGTACCTAAAGGTCTCGGGTTGACTCCCGATTAGGACACGTGCCTGGGTTGCAGGTTGCCGGTAGGTGTGCAGGAAGCAACCCATTGATGTTTCTCTTTTACATCGATATTTCTCTCCCTCTCTCTCCTTCTCCCTTCCTCTCTCCCTGAAATCAGTAAAACGCCATTCTCATCAGAGAAGCTTGCAAGTTTTCCAGAATTCTAATTTCCACATAAATGTACAAAGCTTACCATCAGCCACAGAGCAGTCGGTTGTTTTCCTGGAGGTGGCAGACTCTCTCCCCCCATTTTCCATAACGTCTGCCAGAGCACAGTCTGAGCCAGCACAGTGCGTCCTGTTCCCCATGCCTGGGCCCCGGGGCAGGGGCCTCAGACTTCTGGCGCAGCCCAGCCACGCGCTGTCCTGCGGAGGTCCTACAGCTCTGGGTGCAGCTCATGTCTGTCCCACGGAGGCCCCGCAGCTCAGGGTCCAACTCATGTCTGTCCCACGGAGGCCCCGCAGCTCAGGGTCCAACTCATGTCTGTCCCACGGAGGCCCCGCAGCTCAGGGTGCAGCTCATGTCTGTCCCACGGAGGCCCCGCAGCTCAGGGTGCAGCTCATGTCTGTCCCACGGAGGCCCTGCAGCTCAGGGTCCAGCTCATGTGTGTCCCACGGGGACCCCGCAGTTCAGGGCGCAGCTCATGTCTGTCCCACGGAGGCCCCACAGCTCAGGGCTCAGCTCATGTCTCTCCCACGGAGGCCCTGCAGTTCAGGGCGCAGCTCCTGTCTGTCCCACGGGGGCCCTGCAGTTCAGGGCGCAGCGCATGTGGACTCCTCCTGAACTTAAGCCTGGGAGATTGTCTGCAAGGAAAAAATCTTTTCTAGAAAACTCGAAAATTACCTTTCTAGAAAACAAATTAAAAATAAGAAATATCACCTAAACAAAGATATAAAGAGCAACTTAAAAAGTTATTTTAAGTATTTTAAGTACTTAAGGGTTGAGACTTAGAAAAATGAATATTTTTTACTATTCGTTAAGGACACCTGACTTGAAAGTGCACCCTGTATAGCAAGTGTGTGGTGGGGGAGCAGGACTAGCCCAGGTTGGTGCTGCTGCTTCGATTCCGTGGTAGCGGCTGGCACTTTACCCACCATCACCTTAGCTTCATCGGTGCAAATGCCAACAGAGCATCATTGTTTTTAATATGATCATTTTAGTATTACTGCTACAACAAAAGCCATGTTTCACGTCAGGAGCCGACCTCCCCTGGGTTCTGGGGACCCCACTCTGAGAACCACTGTAGCAGAGAGGCAAAAACAGGCCCTTTAATGTGAGAACTAGCAACAGGCCTGTGGACGCCATCACAGATTTCAGAGTACAGTGGCCAAGCAGCCCGGGGGTAGAGTTCTGCACATCATCCCCGGGACAGCTGGTCTCCCCACGTTCCGCGCTGGTGCGTCATTCCACAGACACGGTCCCCACGGGGGATGTGGCCCCGGTGTGTCTCCGTCCCGTGAGGGCGAGACCCCAGCACAGCCGCAGCGCTGGTCTCTGGCTCCTCCTTGTGCCCCTTCCTCCTCTCGCTCTCTTCCCCGCTCCTCCCTCTGAGACGCTGCCCCAAAAACTTCCCTCAGGACCAGGCGGACCCGATAGAAATAATGACGACAAGAGAAAAACGAAAATAGCAGAAGCGCCAGTTGGCAAAGTTTAACATGGACTTTCAAACATCTGCATGAATTAAATCTTTTTAACACGGTAAAGGCAGCAGAACTGATTCCAGTGAAAATCACTGAAGTAGTTGATCAAGGAGCTGCTGGGCATCAGTGTAAGTGTAGCTGGGAGTAAAGGGCTGGTGTCCACCTTTCTCAGGTCAGAGTGGCCAGTGACCCTCGGGTTCGACTAGTCAGCTCTGTGTCCGTAAAGGAGAACCGGTGTCCAGACTAGGGTCTGCCACTGAAAATGACTCGACGTGAGTGTGTGCCTTGGTGCGCCCTCTGTCCTGTGACCCTCCCTGCGCCTGTGCTGTCGGCAGAGGTCCGTCCTTATTAGTTTTAGGTTCTTTCCTAGAAAAGCAAGTTACCCCACTTTTATTTCCCCCCAAAGACTACAAGGAGCAGTTCTCTTTTTCACACAGTGCTTAGTATTCCAGAAGGAAATGATCTCTGACATCGAACATCTCCCTGTCGTGTGTACCTGGATAATAAACACGCTGGAACACGCTAAATACCGCATCCACGGTCACCTCCCGGACTGATCTCGATTGGCTGTGTCAGAGGTCTGCCCGCTGCCCGCACTGCTGGAAGTGTTGACATTTCTAAGTTGTTAGACAATCAGATTTGCATCTTGTGAGTCAGTGCACTTCCGAAGTATATGCCTGTAGGGTTTTAGTTGGTTAATTATATACTAAATACTGTGTGCAGGTTACTGAGCTTTGGGCATTCAGGAGGATGTACAGAAATATAAGAAATGACCTCCATTACCAGACGGCTGGGGAAATAAAAGAGAAAGAAAGAAGATGTAACAATACAAGATAATATATGTACAGTGCTAACAAGTGTTGGTCCTACCAGAACCTGCTTCTGTGTCAGGGCTTCCCAGAGAGCCAGCCGCCAGCAAGGCTTCTGGAACCTTCAGAAATATTATGGCCACACAGTGTCCCCGGGGACGGGGACTTGCAGGTGATGAATCAAGATGAGCTCAGACAGCAGACTGCCCCAAAGCTTTGTGGGCTAAAGCGCCCCTGGTGACCATGACCCTGCTCTCTCAGCATCGGGGCCTGTCCTGTAATAGGCACCTGGGACCTTTATCAAAGGTGGGGAGCAGGAGAGCTTTCGACACTCCCGGATCCCAGCTGTTTCTTTCCGCCTCCTGTGGGAGTAGCATCTTGTTGATAAATGTCCTCAGCAAGGTCGTGCCAAGGACACTCACTTGTGTGATTTCGGGAAACCAGCAGCCCCACACCAAGGTTAGCATTGTCCCAAACTTGTATTGCCCTACATACTAAACCAGGGAAAGATGAAGGATTGTGCCCCAGCTCTACTCCCAGCACTAATATTAACAAAATGCAGAAATCGGAGGTGGCATTATCCATAAAGGGAACAAAACAGAAACCAAGCAAGTGCTCGCTCTGCGAAGGGAGTGCAGGCTATGTTACGTGCGTCCCTCCAGCGAGTGCTACTGTCGGCCCACTTCCATTGGCATCCCCCTCTTTACGCCTCCTGGGTATTGACCACTGTAACTATGGTGCATTTAGAGATGTAAATTAGCAAAGAGATATTATAAAAGGAGAACTTCCAAGTTGAATGTGGAAATAAGTGTGATGTGAATCATGGAAAGAAAGGAGGAGGGAACTTAGAGGATCAGAAGACAGCACAT